GCTATGAACCAAGTGCCAGTAAAAGGGAGTAGTATAGTTGTGCTTGTTGGTTGGCATAGACATGGTGGGCCAAAGGCACTCTCCACACCGCAGTGAAAACAATTAGATTTAGTGGAAAGAAAATGATTAGAATTGGGAGGATAAAAACTGAACACCCTAAAATATGTTTAAGTGACAGCTACCAAACGTTAGACATTAGGTGGGCACATTAGTACCATCAGTAATCTCAATTGTGTTACTGGTCCAATTCCGTAACACAATAAAAGTTCACAGTGCATCGTCTACTATCATGCGAATGTAACCAATCACCCCTAGTGGCCGTTCTCCAATTAAGCCGTCTTGTGTATTATATAAATGTAGCCCTGTCCGACATACGGAAGACAACAGTGTCACAAGATATTTAAAGCTTTATCCTAATCATTGCGATTGAGATGTACGAACATTAAAATCATAATACTTGGTCAAATTTTATTTTGAGTGGAAAATAGCTTAAAACTTAAGTTGGGATGAAAAATATTAAAACAAAATTCCCTTGACCGCTTTCAGGGTCGGGTTTAATTGCTGTTATACAGTAAGTGATATCTATTAATATTTGTCAATTTCTATTTTTAATGCATTGCATAACTGTCGAAACGACATGGTTTTCCGAAATAAAGCTACAAACTGAGGCGATACATAAATACTGAAGCTTCGCACTTATTCATCGATTATTTGAGGGTAAGGGGTGTGAAAGTTTCAACTGTAAGTTCAGTGAAGTCGGAAAAGTTAAACCCGGGGAGACAAAAAAAACCCCTTCATATCCGAAAAGTGTGCAGCACAAAACTCATTGTTCAAATGTGCTGTCTGCGTATTAAATCATGAAGTAGGATCAGGAGAAATGAAGGGTATAGTGTAAGTGTATTACAGATAAATCTCTTGCTAGTTGATACGGTCACGTCACTTGATTGACTTTAAAGACCATGTTGATTAACCTCCGACGTACCTTAGACCTTTCTTTAAAAAAACTAACTCATTTCATAGACACTTTCAACAGTAGTTGCTATTGAACGCAGTAAAAAGGTTGGCCGATTTTTTTTTTGCCGAGATATTAAAAAGACGTACTCACTTCCTTTCGAAAACTTCAGGTAATGACTGTTTAAGCCTGGCTCGATATGACACTTACCGCTCTCAATGGGTGTGGGTGGGTGGATGGACTAACGCTTTCTCTCCTTCCTGTTTAATGACACATCTTCATCAAGACCTCAGTCCAGCAGGAGAGTGAACAGCGGCGACGAGTTGTGGTGAACGTCCTTGTTAGAAGCGGTCAGCCGCCGCCGCCGCCGGTGGGGTTTTCTCTTTCCTTCCTCGGAGGTTGCTGCTGCTGCTGGATTTAGTCGTTGTGGGGGTAAATGTCCGTGTAAGAAGCAGCAGGTCACACCGGCAGGCAGGCAGGTGTCTGGATCACTCCGCTCACAGATCACTCTCCACACGGCAGAGACACGGTGCGAGGAGAGAAGGCACATACCATCCCCCCCACCAAAACCATCACCATCACCGCCACTGCCACCGGTCTCATCACCGCCGTGACGTGAGCAAGGCCGCCCGGGTGACGCCGCGTACCCCTTTGTGACGCGGTCTCGAATGAGCCGCCGAACGGTCAACCGTTAGTGCTCGCGCTCCGTTCCGCTCTCCTCGCGCGGTGCCGTGCCTCCCCCGCTCCGCTCCAATTGGGAAACACAAGCAACGCCACCCGGAAATGAAAGCACAGCGGAACCATCCACGTCACTGCAGAAGTCTGCTGAAAGCTGATGTCTTTATCGCTCAATACTTCCCTTCAGGCGTTCTCACGGATTCCTGGTGTACTTGCAACATTTCCTCTCTTGCTGATTTGAGATGATCAGTTTTGTCTCTGTCTCTTTTTCTTCAGCAGACGGGGGATATTCACGATTGATTCAGCACTCAATTCTACTGACGTGCTCACGTCAAGAACAGGTATACCCAACTGCAAACAGCTCACCGCAGCCACAGCGCTGTCACTTCAAATAAAAGGTGACAGTGCCTTTAAAGCCGAAAAACTTCTTAAAAGTGTTTGAAATCCAAAAATCTAATAAATCTAATATGATCCATCATTATCTGTCTAAGTATGACCACGATAGACTCGAGGAGTAACATTTTGATTATAAGAGGACAAAGGATAGAATTGGCTGCTTAATTTCGGAATTTGGAAACAATCAGCAATTTAGCCACTTTTTGTTCCACCATTTAATGAGATCATGTTTGATTGAGGAACTACCTCCATATATCCACCTTTGTTCCATATTCCTAAAGACAAACGGCTAACACATATCTAACGGCCTCAGTTTTAGATTATCAATTAATTCAGCTCCGGCTAAACTTTATGAGGGACAATTACAAATTTCTACTATTCCTTATATGTGGTGATCACACCCTAAGGCTATATGACCTAGTTCTATATGCAACAATGGAAATAGTTTCCTTCTATTTGCCCAATCAGATCTTCTCAATATTTTGAAAACTTTGATCACATCACTTTTAATCTTATGAATTCCTGGGAATATAATCCTAGTTGTGTTATAAAAATCACAGAAAATGGTAGGTACTGTAAATCTGAAATATAAAAACAAAACATCCTGGAAATGCTCACAGGACAGGCATCATTTGTGGGGAGAGAGAAACAGCATTAATGTTTCATTTCCATTCATCAGAACTGGAAAAAGTTTGATATGTAACAAGTTTTTTAAGAAAGTGAAAGGGGAAGACAGTTGGTAAAAGAAATAAAGGAAAAATCTCTGCTAGATTGGAAGATGGGAGATATTGAATTACAAAAGAGTTTGTGGTGCAATGCCAAAGGTGGTGGTAGTGGGAAAAGCAAAAAAAAAGATGCATCTGGAGAGGTCTTTCACCAATTCTATCTCTGTTTCATTTAATGGAGATAAGCCATCAACCAACAGACCACTAACTCCCACAGCTTACTTTCTCGCATCTTATTTCCTGTTCCATTCTTCCGATGTCTTTGCATCACCAATTCTTTTGTCACTTAATCTCTCCTGTCTTCCACCCTCTTACTGACCTCACTTTTGTATTTTTTTCTCACCATCCATGACACATACTTCTTTTTTCACTTGTTAAAAATGTATTTTTTTTTACTTTTTTGCAGTTCAGAAGAACAGTCAGTAACCTAAAACATAAACTCTGAATTTCTCTTCACAGATGCTGTCTGACCAAAATTTCCTGCTTTTATCCCAGTGTGAGTAATTTCACTTCAAATTTCAGTCTTGGACTTTGTTATCATTCTGATAACATTACATTCCCTCCAAGGCTAATACATCTTTCCTAAGGTTGTGCACAGCATGGGACACTTCACTCCAGGTGTGCTTTACCCAAGGCCACTTATAAGCTGCAACAAGACTTCTAACTCCTTTATATTCAGAGGACTAAAATACAAGCTGAATGTTTTTAGCTATTTTTTGGACATGCAAATGTGGTACTTTAAATTAGTGCACTTGAACCCCTTTGGACTTCTAGATTTTTACTAATTTGAAATACTCTATTCTTTATCATTTTATGTTCAAAGTGGTCCATATTAAAAATCATACCCTGTTAATATCACTAAGTTTATGCCTCTGCTTGGCTATAATACTGTGAGATAATGTGAAATACTCAAAAGTTATTAGATGTCCCTTGATTCAAAGACGTCTACGCGATGTCACATTCCCACTATGACTGAACAGGCAAATTTGCAGCTTTTAGACCTTTTGATATACGGGGCACAATTTACTTCATTTTCTTTCCTTTTGTGCCACCACTTGCCTCATCATTAAGTCATTTGGAATCAAATTATGATTCAGCTTGATGGACAAGTTTTTACAATTTTGAATAATTTGTAGCAAGCTCCTTGTTGATGTCAATGCTTCTGTGCTGTAAGCAGAGCTTTAAAGCATCTGGTGTTTCTTTGGCCTCCCCTAGAATGAGTGTCATTCAACAGTTGAGAAAATTGGACCTGGCAGGGAGATACATTTATGCTGCCCTGATACAGCCTCTAGTTAGATTTGCAGAAGTTTTGCCTGAATGCATTTGGACCTGGCTTCAAGAGGTCACTGGAGGAATACAGCAGGCCCCAGGCAGCATCAGAGGAGCAGGAAAGTTGATGTTTTGGGTCAGGTTGGGTCAGGAGAAGGGTCCCGACCCAAAACGTCAACCTTCCTGCCCCTCTGATGCTGTCTGGCCTGCTGTGTTCCACCAGCTCCACACTGTCTTATCTCTGACTCCAGCATCAGCAGTTCTTACTATCTCTTCAAGACGGTTGTCCCATCGTATCTGGAGAATAAGGCAGAGTCATTGTTGGTGTAATTTCTGTAGCACATTTTTGTGTTACTGATGCACAATCCAGGCTTGACTGTTGTGCAGCAACTGATGACAACTGCTCTGTATGCTAGAAATATTTGTTGGTCTTTGTTGTCATATACTCAGTAGTGTAGTTTGTAGAAGCCTGAATTGGTACATCTGATCTAGTGTTGATCTCCTCAACAATAGGTGGCTGCCAAGATATGGGAAGTACCGAAAATATTCTGAAGTGACTCCTTCAACATTCAGTGGAGTTTTTGACCGACTAGGTTTGTATTCATAAAAGGTGCAGGGCTGGATGAACACAGCAGGCCAAGCAGCATCATAGGAGCAGAGAGGCATACACGTTTTGTTTTGGCAACTCTGAAGGACAGCCTGTCCCCATGAAACTAATTAAGCAGAAAGAGCTGCAATGGTGAAAATAGATTTGTGGAGTTCTTGAAATAATCCAATAATCATTTGGTACAATTTCGGTTAATTAATTATCAGGTAAAGATAAAAGCATCTAAAGTTCACATTAATGAAAGCCGACAATGTCTTCATAGACCTAAAGGACCAGTGACTATTCTCCCACTAGAGAGAGACGACTGGTGGTGGTTTAACACCACTGTTCAGTGAGTCGCACAATTCCACGTTCTGTTTTAAACTCCCTCTAGACTATACGAAATGACACAGTGCGCATGCCTATTTCGCCCGGAAGGCGTGACGCAATCGCGCACGGAATCGTTTCCTTGGTTTCCTGGAAACGTGAAAAGAATGGCGGCCATGGTATCGCAGGTGGCAGTGGTGGCATCGACTCCCACCAAACCTCGGAATAAGAAAAGGCCGACAAGTCCGGGGAACAGCGGGGGTGTGGCTGCGAAGAAGAAGAGAATAGGACAGGTACTTGTGGATAGTGTTTGTGGGTGATATGAATCACGGAAACGAATATATTAAAGGGAACGCCCAGGCGTATGAGCAAATAGGTTAAACTAAATCAACATTGCCGTATCAGAAAAGTACACGTTTGTAGGCATGAACAAAGAATGTAAGCGTCAAGAAGTCGTGCAATAAAACATTCTGGTTTGAAAAGAGTTGAAGTACGGCAATTTAGCATTCTTTTTGCACGTGGGAATACATTATATTCTAGAAGCACTGAATTGGGTGTTGTAAAGTTAGATTTCTTTGGATTTAACATAAATAAAACAAAAATGCTAGAAGTACTCAATTTCAGGCAGTACCTGCAGAGAGAAGCAGTTTTGACCTACAGTCTACTGTCCGTAAACATGAAATCATCCAAAACTTTCATCTTGATTCGCACCAAATCCTTTTCATTCCCTCAAAATTTTGCCCCTCAGCTTGCTGACAAAAATGACTGCCAGTTAAATGAAATCTTGATTTTAAAATTTCATCCTTTAGTAGTTCCTTATCATTTTATGCTTTATAATGCTCCTGTGACGCTCTTTGTGACATTATGTATTTACATTGCATCTTTGACATAATAAACTGTTGAAAGGAGAGTGGAATAGAACTAGCTGAATTGACCATGCAGAGGTCCAGCACAGATATGACAGGCAAAAAGTCAATTGTGTGGACCGTATTCTGTGCCTCTTGCAGAAGCAGTTCACAGGATGACTAATCTGTGCTTTAATCAATAATGTGAGCCTTGTTTCTTTACAGCTGAACAGTCAAAGTTAATGATTTGAATGTGCACTTTTTTTCAAATGTAGAATGTTGTGTTGGATACTATCGGTGAGAATCAAAGTTTGGCTACAGATTCCAGTCCAGGGCACGGAGAGCCTGCAGTAAAACCTTTGATATTTAAGGATCCAAATTTTATTGTAAGTATTTTTTTTTACCTGAAGTGGCAAATCCCACAGAACTTTTCTTCCCCCCACCCCCCGACTTTACAATCGCTCAAAATATATTTTCAGGCTATCATTGTCAATCAGTTTTATGCTAAGGATTTAAAAAAAAAAGTACAACAATCTTGCTTAAAAAAAATTGACCAATTGGGTAAATAGCTCTAACAACAAAGGTGTGTCCTCACAGGGAAATTTAATGGTGGAAAGGCTTGTTCATTTTGCAACATGAAATGTGACAGAAGAAAGTAATGACTCTAATTCTGTTTAACCCAAAAAATGGATTTTAACATGCTCACATATACCATGACTTTTGAACTCCCTGGCAGCTTTAAGGCTGGAAAGCATCAAGAAAAGTGAATGCATCAGTAGCACCAGAAGAAATAATCACCTAATTACATTTCTAAAATAGTGTATACCTAACTTTTTCCTTTTAATTTTCTTTTGCTGGTGTAAAGTTAAATGGGTTTCCTGTGTTATTGCACATTATCTGTCAACAGTACATTGTTATGGATGAAATTTCACTCAGTGTAAAGGAAAAATGTGGAGATCTTAGCAAGAAAATTACTTATGGGCTTGAGAGAATAAAAGATAATGAGGCCATTTAAGAAAGAGATGTACAAGGTGAAAACAGTATGAAATATTTAAACAAATTAGGTAGCACAAAAATGGATGCGAAAATTGATATGTTGAGGATGAAAATATGTTAGGATGTATGGCCAAGAGGGATTTAGAAGAGACCAATGTCCCCTGACATGTGGGATGCCAATTGACATTCCCAAAGATAAAGAGACCCCAGTTTTCAAGGAAACATCAATGCAGAGGGTGATGCAGAAAGGCTTAAAATTTTTCTTTAATTCACTCATGTGATGTCACTGTCTGGCCAGCATTTATTGATTATCCCTAGCTGCCCTTGGGGAGGTGGTGGTGAGCTGTCATCTTGAAATGTTGCAGTCCATGTACCCACAATTCCAGGATTCTGACCAAGTAAAGGTGATGAGTAACTTGGAGGGGAACTTGCAGGTTGTGGTGTTCCACTTATCAGCTATCCTTGTCCTTCTAGATGGATATGCTCATGGCTTCAAAGGTGCTGTGTAAGGAGCTTTGTTGAGTTTCTGTAGTGCATCTTGCAGGTGGTACATACTGCTGTTACTGAGTGGTGGTAAAACTTATTTGTGGATGTGGTGCCAGTCAAGTGGCTGCTTTGTCCTGGATGGTGTTAAGCTTATAGAATGTTGATGGGTCTACAGTCATCCAGGCATTTGGGGAATACTCTCTCACATCCCCAACTTGTGTCTTGTAGATGGTGGACAGGGTTTAGGGAGTCACGGTGGTGTATTTTTTGCTGCAGTATTCCTAGCCTGTGACCTCTTGTAGCTACCATATTTAGGTGGCTAGTCCAGTTCAGTTCCTGGCCAGGAAGTTCATAGTGAGGATTTGGTAATGTTAATGCCATTGAAGTGGTCATTTAAGGGGCAGTGGTTTAGATTGTCTCTTATTGGAGATAGTTATTGTCTGACATTTGTGTGACACAATTGTTACTTGCCATTTTTCTGCCAATCCTGGATATTGTTCCAAATCTTGTTGCATTTGGGCATGACTGCTTCAATATCCAAGGAGTCATGAATGGGGCTGAACTTTGTGCAATTATCAGTGAATATCCTCAGTTAAAGGTGTTTGGGCCTTGGACATCGCCATGACGAATTCCTGCAGAGATGTCCTGGAGCTGAGATGCCTGACCTCCAACAACTACAACCATGTTCCTATGTGCCAGATATGGCTCCAACCAGCTGAGGGTTTTCCCCTGATTCCCATTGACTCCAGTTTTGCTAGGGCTTCTTGATGTCACACTCAGTCAAATACAACCTTGATGTCAAGGGTTGTCACTCTCACCTCACCTCTGGAATTCAGCTCTTTTGTCAATGTTTGAACCAAGGCTGTAATGAGGACAGGAGCCGAGTGGCCCTGGCAGAGCCCAAACTGGGCGTTACTGATGAGCAGGTGCAGCTGATAGCACTGATGATACCTTCCGTCACTTTACTGATTGAGAGTAGATTGATTGGAGGGTCACTGTTTGGGTTGGATTTGTCTGGCTTTGAGTGGAAATGATATACCTGAGCAATTATGCAAATTTTTCAGGTAGATGCCAGTGTTGTAATTGCATTGGAACAGCTTGGCCAAGTGTGCGACAAGTTCTGGAGCACAAGTCACAGCAGTATTGTAGAAATATTGTCAGGCCCATAGTTATTGTAGTATCCATTGCCTTCAGTCATTTCTTGATATCAGGTGGAATGAAACAAATTGGCTGTAGACTGTCATCTGTGATCATAACACCATAAGAGTGATGCTGGGGATTTCTGATGCTGTTGGTATCAACTTGACCCTTTTGGCTAAAGATTATTGTGAATGCTTCTGACTTGCCTTTTGCACTGATGTGCAGTGTTCTGCCCTAATTGAGTATGGAGATGGTTTTGGACCATCCTCCAATTGTCCGCCACCGTTCATGACTGGATTTGATAGGAATGCAGAGCTTAGATCTCATCCATTGATCTGACCCCATCACTTAGCTTTGTCTATCACTTGTTGCTTACACTGTTTGCCACGCAAGTAAACCTGATTTGTAGCTTCAATGGGTTGATTATTTTTAGGTAAATCTGGCGCTGCTATTGGCATGCCCTCCTGTATTCAACTTTGAATGAGAGTTGATCCCCTGGCTTGATGGTAATAATAGGGTGGTGGGGTTTGGGGTTGGGGGTGTGGGGTAATATGACCATAACATATAGGAGCAGAAATAGGATATTTGACCCATTGAGTCTGCTCTGCCATTTGATCATGGCTGAAATGTCTCTCAACTCCATTCTCCTGCCTTCTCCCTTGTAACCCTTTATCTCCTCACTAGTCAAGAACCTATTTACTTCTATCTTAAAGATACTCAATGATTTGGCCTCCACAGCCTTTGGTGACAATGAGTTCCACAGATTCACAAACATCTGGCTGAATAAATTCCTCATCTCAGTTCTAAAGAGTCATCTCTTCACTTGAGGTTATACCCTCACTTCCTAGTCTCTTCTACTGGTGGAAACATCTTCTCCATGTCCACTCTATCCAGGCCTCTCAGTATTCTTGAAGTTTCAGATTCTTCCCCCTGCAGTCAATTGAGTACAGACCTAGACTCCTCAACCACTCCTCATATGTCAAGCCATTTATTCCTGGGATCATTCTTGTGACCCTTTCCAAGCCTAGCGTATCCTTCCTTAGTTTGGGTCCTCAAAACTGCTCGTGATATTCCAAATGTAGACTGACCGGAGTTTATATAGCCTCAGCAGTACATCCCTGCTCTTGTATTCCAGCCCCTCTTGAAATGAGTGCTAACATTGCATTTGCCTTCCTATCTGCCAACTGTACCTCTACATGTTCGCCCCAAAAGAATCCTGAGCTGGGACCTCTAAGCCCTTTTGTGCTTCAGATTTCCAAAGCCTTTTTCCATTTAGAAAATAGTCTATGCCTCTATTCCAACCAAAGTGCATAATCTCACACTTTCCCACACTGCATTTTCATCTTGACCAAGTCCTTCTGTGGTCTCCCCACTTTCTCAACACTACCTGTCCATCCACTTGTATGCTGGCCCATGTGGTTGCTGGAGTGTGATCCTGTTGCTACTGATTATGAGTTGCTAGATCTGTTCAAAGTTTGACCCATTTAGCATGGTGATAATGCCGCACAATACTATGCAAAACCTTCTCAAAATGAAGGCAGGACTTCATCTCCACAAGGATTGTGTGATGGTCATTATTACAGACACTTATATCCATAGCAGGTGGATTGGTGAGAATGAGGTTTTGAGCTTTTTCCTCTTGTTTCCTTTCCATTCCATCTGCCGCAGACTCAGTCCAGCGGCTATGTGTCTTTTAGCACTTGACCAGCTCGACCAGTAGTGCTGCTGCCATGCCATTCTTGGTGGTGGACATTGAAACTTCCCACTCAGAGTATGTTCTGTGCCCTTGCTCCCTCCTTGCTTTTTCCAAATTCTCCTCCTCATGGAAGAGCATTGGTTTACCAGTCAAGGGAGGACGGCATGTGGTAATCAGTATGGTGCCACATCCTCTGCTGGGCCTGTCCTGTATTGGGACAGGACATGTGTGCGGCTGAGGATGGAGATGGTGGTGTCAGGGACATAGTCATACTCATGGAATCATACCTTACAGACAATCAGGCTGCTGCTTGACTATTCTGAGTCAGCTGTCCCAATTTTGCCACTAGCCCCAAATGTTAATAAAGAGGATTTTGCAGGATTAAAAAGGCTGTTTTTTGTCAATATCATTTCCAGTATCTCAGTCAATGCCAGTAGTCTGTCCAGTTTCATTCCTTTTATTTTGAGACTTTCTAGTGATTGTTACAACTGAGTTAAAGGTAGTTGTCTTTTCCCTAGGATAGGGGATTTCAAGACTAGGGGGGCACATTTTTAAGGTGAGAGGACAGAGATTTAAAAAGACGTAAGAGGCAAATTTTTTTTACACAGAGAGTGGTTCGCATGTGGAATGAACTTCCTGAGGAAGTGGTGGATGCGGCTACAATTACAATGTTTAAACGATATTAGGATATGTACGTTTTTAGGAAAGGTTGGGAAGGATATGGGCCAGGAGCAGGCAGGTGAGACTAGTTTCGTTTGGATGTATGTTTGGCATGGACTGGTTGGACCGAAGGGTCTGTTTCTGTGCAGTATGACTCTATGACTGACTTGCTACCCCATTTCAGAGGGCAGTTAAGAGTCAGTCATGTTGCTATAGGTCTGGAGTCAGGCCATATAGGCCAGACCAGGTTAGGACAGCAATGTCCTTCCCTCAAGGGCATTAGTGTAACACCAGATAGGTTTTTTCGAAAATTGACAGTTGTTTCATGGTCATCTTTAGACTCGTAGTTCCAGATTTTAATTTTAAAACTGAATTCAAATTGCACCATCTGTTATGGTGGGATTTGAA